ATCGCTAGAAGGAGGATATTAAGTATATTAACGTTAGCGAGTGCCCTAACGATATTAGGGTCCTATTTATTAGTAACCTAACTCTAGCTAATCCGACTGCCGACCTGCTTAGTAGTAATAACGACGAACCTGTGCCCCCTAATAGTATAGACCCTAATTAGCTTGCTCGTATACTATAGCCTGTTCGAGAGACTTATATTAATATATTCAAATACTACCTAGTATCGGCATTGCCTATATTTAAAGAGACGGACTATAAGATCGATATTATATAGGGCAAGGAGGTTCCTTTTAGGCCCCTCTATAACCTTAGTAAATGAGAGCTTACTATATTACGTAAGTATCTAGATAAGAACCTAGCTAATAGTCGAATTTAGTATAGTGATAGCCCTGCTAGTGCACCTATCCTATTCGTACTAAAGAAGGATAGTAGCCTATACCTCTATATCGATTATCGTAGGCTTAATACTATTACTATTAAGGACCGCTGTCTACTTCCGCTTATTAATAAGACCCTCGACCGCCTATCTAGCGCCTGTTTCTATACTATACTAGATATTAAAGACGCCTATTACCGCATTCGTATTCGCAAGGGCGATAAATAGAAAACAGCCTTCTATACTCGCTATAGCTATTTCGAGTACTTAGTTATGCTATTTAGCCTAGCTAATGCCCCTACTACATTTTAGTCCTATATTAATCGGGCCCTATTAGGCCTATTAGACTATCTCTGTATAGTTTACCTAGATAACATCCTAGTTTACACCTATTTACCTAATATTACAAAACACTAGGCCGTAGTACGTAAGGTCCTCGACCGCCTACGAGCCTATAGACTATATTGCAAGCCTTCTAAATACACCTTCGCTACTAAGGAGGTAGCTTTCCTCGGCTTTATTGTATTAACTAATAGTATTAAGGCTAATCCTAATCGGATTAAAACTATTACTAAATAGCCTATTCCTACGTTAATTAAGGAACTGTAGTCGTTCCTTAGCTTCGCTAATTCCTATTATCGCTTTATTAAGGGCTATTTACGGCATATAATGCCCCTAACTAAGCTTACTAAAACTAAGGCCAATCTATCTAGAGAGCCCAAATAGACTAATAAAGCATAAGCCGCTTTTAACGGTTTAAAAAAGCGCTTTACTAAAGTCCCCCTATTATACTATTTCGTACTAAGTAGGCAGATCCGTATTAAGACTAACGCTTTACAGTTCGCTATATTAGCTATTATATTACAATAGGCTAATAACAATTACTAGCACCCGATTACCTTCTTTTTAAGGAAGATAATTAATACTAAGCGTCGCTACGAGACCTACGAATAAGAATTACTAGCTATTATCGAGGCCTTTAAGTATTAGAGGCACTACCTCGATAGGGCCTAATATACGATATAGGTCTATATAGACTATAACAACCTCCGTAGTATTACTAAGGTTACTAGGGTTATAGGTCGATAGGCTAGATAGGCCGTCTACCTCGCCGGGTTCGATTTTAATATATTATACTAGCTAGGCGTAAGCAACTCTACCGATAGCCTATCGAGGCGGCCTAATTACGATAGCGAGACTTGGCAATCTGTTAATTTATTGTTTCTAACCCTATAGTATAAGATTGCTATAGCCCGTATTATTAATAAGCAAGCGTAGGATAAGCGGACCTCCGGACCCCGCGGCGGCAATAAATACTATAGCGGAGTTATTGTTCTTCTAGTATGCGTTAGAAAGGACGTAGATCGCTCGAGCTACGACAACTCGATTAAAGACATTACCATCTATAGTAATAGCCTATATAGCGACAGTACTACAGAAGAGGTTATAGTAGTTCCGGCTACTAGTGCTATTAGATGCATATAATACGTACCTCGTTCGATAGCAAGGGTACTATTAAATAACCTTACGAATAGGGATAGTTAATCGTTTATAGATAAGCTATTACGGGCTTAGTAGAGGGACGCCTTTATTAGGGCTAAAGAGGCTATACGTAATTAGTATATAACTAGGCCGAGTAAAGCTAGGGTCTTAATGCCTTAGGTAGGGCTTAGCGCTTAGCGTTAGGCTAACTCTCCTACCTTCCTCCCTCTCCTACTAGATCCTTATCGAATACTACCTATACCTACTACTACCCTATCTACCTACTAATATAACCCTTCTTATATAGTATTCGATCTACCCTTTAAGGGCAGTAGCTAGATAGTCCTTATTTCAAGCTTTTAGTAGTATAGCTACGAAAACTATCGATTTAACTATATTACGCCCGAAGAACGGGACCTATACGTACTATTCTATCGAAACAACCGTACTAATTATTAAGCAAGGCCTTCTATACGGCCTATTACACTAAATCAATCGCACTAAGCCGATACCTACTAATTCTACTATATCCGCACTATAGGGGCCTATAATATATTATTAGTATTATCCCTTATTATAATAGCCGGCTTATTACGAAGCAATAACAACAACCGCGGCGCCGCTAGTAGCGCTAGTAATAACAATACTAGTAGTATAGAGCCTATTAACGAGGAGCCTATAGTTCTAGGTAATAATCTAGAATTGCCTATTAACGATATTCTTAGCAATATTGTCTATCGTCGATATAACTAACTAGCCTTCGGCCCCTAGCTAGTAGCGAGACTTTAAGAAGCTACTTAGAATAGGCT